ATATATATATATATATATATATATATATATATCGTCAAATAGAACTGCCCGGTAAACCGTAGGCAGAGAGGGAGAAGAGGACAACAAACGAGGGTTTGTGACAAATATATATATATATACATATATATATCGTCACAAATAGAATATATATATATACGTACATATATCGTCAAATAGTATATATAGTATTCTACGCATGTAAAGCTCCTCTTGAGGATATACGATCTTTGCCCAGAAGGAAGTCTTCAAACTCAAATACAAGCAGACAGATATGCAGCTGCCTTCAAGGACTGCAAAACACATCTTCCACAACAATTTGCTGGCCGCTGCAAGGAGCATTTGCCTCAGTGACTTGTGATCGTTAAACAGTGGATGACACAAGTTTTTTAACTGTGTTGTCATGCACTTGAAAAGTGACCGAAACGCCACAGGCGCACGCCATTGTTCATGAGCTGTGGATGCTCATTGCGAGCTCTTCTGCTGGTCTTGCGGGTTGATGTTGACACGAATTCGCTCCACATATCATTTTTTTTCATGAACTGTGGTTGATGATTTGTAGACCTTCTGCTTCACTTGCACAGCATAATGTTGATTTTCAAGGTTGACCTCCATTTATGCAAAATGCTGACTTCTTTCCTGCATGATTCCCCAGATGTGCACAGTGCCCATGTCCAAGGGACAAAGTAAAATGACCTATTGGTCCGGTCTCTTTAACTTAGAAAAAGATTCCTACATGAGAGAGAAAAAGATTCCTACATTTCTCATGGCTGGTAACTTGGTAGCATAAACCTGTAACAGTTGTAAATATTTAAAATATTTAAAATATTTTTTTATAAATGAATTACGAGTCGTTGACCCTTCGGACAGATTGTTCTCAGGATCCAGCAAATCCTTTTCATCCTAGCACCCTAAACCCAAGGTACGACGACCGCCCTACAGGAAAATAAAATATACTATGGATTTATCAGATAGCCTAAGGTAAGTGACATGCATCGCTCCTTGTTGCGGATAAGACACTCAATTTGATGGACACAGGAAAATACAAATACTATGGATTTATCAGATAGCCAGCCTAGTGGCATGCCAACGCCCCTTGCGGATATGATCTACCGTCTTCACCCGAATAGAACGCCCGGTCATTATAGCCGTATCTGGACTGAAAATTGCACCAAATACGGCTATAATGACTGGGCGTTCTATTCGGGTGAAGACGGTAGTTGGACCCAAAGTGGTCCCAGAGCAGTTCTGAGCTGTTATTTTGTATGGAATTTTAACATCCACATGGCACATAGTACATACTCATATTACTAATGCTTTCCTCTTACAAATTGTTTTTTTCCCCACATGATCTAGAGGCACTCGTTGTTGTGAAACCTCCCCATATGGCAATGTAAGGCCCCTTGTGTCCAGTAAATATGGATAATGATTGGAAAGTAATACTGATGACAGTGATAAGGATGGTAATTACTAAGCCTTAATAGATGATCAGGTGGGTGGCAATAGCTGAACAAAAGATAAACGACACAGCATATCACTCTGCATAGCGCTGAGGCAGTGCAATACTGACAAGCTCTGGGTTATTGCTCTTCAATAAAACAAGTGGGCCTGCCGTGGCGATGTGGGGGCCCAGTGCCAATTTGTTTTTGGCACGGTTATGGTACTATGTGGGGTAGTCCTCCCCCTCCTCATCCTTCCCCTCATCCTCCCGCTCGTCATCCCGGCCCATGTCCTCTCGCTCCTCCTGCTGCTCCTCCTCCTGTTCACTGGGCTTCGGTCCACGACTCACCAAACGTGCAAAATGAGAATGAATCTTCCTCCAGAACATGGGAAGATACAGGGGCAGAAGAAAGAAAGAGAGAAAGAAAGAAAGAAAGATGCAACATGGGAATGAATCTTCCCCTAGAACATGGGAAGATACAAGGGC